CGTAAAGGTTATAATGCTTGCAGAGCGTGGTGGTTTGGTCAATATCCATCGTGGCTGTGTCCAGCAGGCAGATGATTTCTTCCAATCTGCTGGCGGTGTGGTTCGTCGCGTAATGGTTGATTAAAGCCTTGACCGCAGTGGGAGGGAGTGAGCGGACAGTGCCCTCAACGATGTATGATTCAAGTGCATCAAGAAAGATGCCTTGAGAGTCACTCTCTTCGAACCAGGTGAACACTTCATCCCACAGATAATCTAGTTCGGACATGCAAACACAGGCAGAGATTGACACCTCGGCCAGCTTCTGGAGCTGTATAGTATCGAGCCTTTCATTATTCGCTTCTGCGTTGCGGCCAAATGCGTATTTGAGCGACGCTGAAATCATTTCCAGGAGCTTTTCCCGTACTAGAGGCTGCCTCAGTGCGTCCTCCTCAGGGAGACCAATTGTGAGCTTCTCGGCGCTGCCTTGATAGTAGGATGTCGCCACTTGAATTGCCCCGATAAAATCACCCGCCTCCATGAGGGCAAGTAACCTATCAGCCCAATTTGAAAGACCCCCAATAAGAAGTTCATTATAGCCCAGAAGGAACAAGCGGCCTTTGTAAGAGCGAAAGCTCATGAAGAACGCATCCGCTACTACACCATGCATCGTTGTGTCCTCTTCATTGAACTGTTCAACCAGACTATGGAGCTGGGCAGAGAATAAGTCCACATGATAGATGTGTCGATTGAGCAAATCAACCGCTTCTGTGACACGCATAGTGTGATCCTCAAGGATAAGCAGCTGTTGAGTTATGGTGAGCACGGCCATCACGGAGCGACTCAACCATTGAACAGCTACAATCGCCTCATCGGCCTTCCATCTGCTTCGTGGTCTGAACTCCAGGGCCGGAGGTCGGTCCCTGTTTGGAGATTCATCCGCTTCAACCTCGGAAACTTCCAGCACTGTCAGTACATTAGACCAACAATAGACAAGCTTTGTCCGCGAGATTTCAGTTTCCTTCCCTTTCAGGCGAATTGCCGGGAACCAGGCTAGCGCTCCAGTCATCGCGCCATGAGCGGCAACCTCCTTGGGACGAGGCGCCTTGTGTTGGGTTTGCGCAACGGGCGTCGTGGACACTATCACCAGGAGATAAGGGGTAAGCATGGCAACCAGCCCCAGCGAGTCCGTAGGCTGCTCAATGTTGCCTAGGGGAAGAGGTGAAAAAGCCAGGACGGAGCTGGGCTTTCGCGGCCGAAATCCTTCCGCATAAATCTGAGGGTAGCGGCCCAGAATCCTACTCGTTTTCACCGTCCGTCCGACTGCACCCATACCACGCGTAGCCAGATGCGAAAAGGCCATCCCTCGTTTATCTGCAGAGACCAGTGCGGTACGTCGAGTCCCCAGAAACCCCACATGGATGACAGGTGATCCGGTGATATGACCATCTGAGGGTCGGTTTTCAATCAGATTGGCCGGTATCGGGGGTATGTGAAGGAAAGGCCGTGCAGACCGCGAGATTTCCCAGGTGAAGATGTCACCCGATTGATGACCTCCGGCAACTGTGGTGTGGTCCGCGGACAGCGCCAAGGATGCAATTGCGCCGCATTCGATAGCTAGACCCCCACGCTTAGTACGTGAACAGCGCCAAGCAAGGCTATGTTGAAGCTTACCTTTCGTCCCCAGGCCGATGATGGTCTTGAGGTTCTGCTGGTAGTCAAAGACGAGGATTATACCCTTGGAAGTTCCAACCACGATTGACGTTGAGACCACCATGCAAGTCGGATGTCCATGGTTCCGCTTTCCAGCTTCCGAAAACGCCTGGCCGTTGATCTTTCTGAGTTTGGTCCACCGCACGACATCCCAAGGTCCCTGGGGAGTGTCGGGCCCCGAATCGACAGTTCCGGGAGACAGGTGGCTCGTGACGGAGGATTTGCGTGAGTGCAAATGCGCTAGGAATGGCGAGGCCGATCGGAGGTTTCCAATTGAGTAAGAAGATAATCTGGATTGAAACCGAAGGTCGAACGGGCGATGGGAAGGACTGGGACTGAGTTGAGGGGAGCCACGGAAGGCCAACGCGCTGCTGCTTCGCGACGATAGGATGGAGTCCTATGGCAATCAATCAGCGGAGAACCACGGCCGCGAAACGGCAGCGGCGACGCACATGAAGGGAAGGAGTGTCGTCGGGGATCGAGAGAGTCTCGTCAACACTACCGGGAGCGCCGGGCTGCCCGGAACGCGGTGAAGAGGGAAGGTCGGTCGCATCGGGGTCAACAGCAGGAATTGGTTTGACGGCGGGAGCATGGTTCTCGCTGGTTAGATCGGGCAGATCTTCCTCGGCGTAAGCAATTGAGTCCGACGCCGACTCTGGATGGGGGTGAACATGGTCGGGGGTGCCGTTGCGGGTCGGCGGGGAGAGTGCATCGTCGTCTGGTCCCAAGTCGAGCTCATCCTCTCGTGCCCAGTCATTACTGGTCTCGATCATGGAGCTCATCGGCAGCAGGATCGAATGACCATCTCTCCCAGCTTGTTTTTGTGCAAGACCCAGATATTAGTGGGAGGTGGGAGGTGAGAGGCGTCGTGATGAGGGAGGGGGGGTGGTTGGTGAAGGTATGACAGGGGACCAAAACGAGGAGGCGGAGGAGGAGGAGGAAGTGTTGTGAGAGAGTACGGTTAAGGTAGACAAGGTGGGAAGATGGAAGGTGCCGCAGGCAGAGAGGCAGTGGTTCACCAGCACTAAACTAGAGCGGGTGCTGGGGGCGCTAGTTTTCTGGCAGTGGGGAGCAACAACATCGGAATACTGTGTGGTGTATATACTGTGTATGTACTGTACCCGTTACCTTAGCTGGGAATAACTACTAGGTAGTCATGAAGAAGGTGAGGATCCAACAAGGATCAAATCGATTGCTTGCTGTTGACGTTAAGATCAAGAAGCGTAGCAGAGACTCCCCGACTCGGAGGTCAGCACCGCCCATCCACTTACTGCCTTGCTGCCTTTATCCTTTATCTTGGGTGCCTTAAGGCAGGGATATTCTGGCGTGGAGATCAGAAACATTGACATTAATAACTACTCTATGTATCAACTTTTCAACTTTGAGTTTAACTCCTAGTATTTGCTAGCTATACACGGGAGGGCAAGATAGTACTCAATAAATCCTGTTTAAAGGGCAACTATCTATCTCACTTGTTTGGATAAGCACATAACATGGGACTCCAGCCTCTTTCAATATCGATGTTCTAGGCAGGCA